CTGGTAGCCAAGGCTATGCCACAGGGAAGGGGGTATATATGTGAGCCAAGATGCATAGGCAGAGGGACTCAGACCCAAATGTGAGGGAAAAGAGTAAATAAGAGCCATGAAAGGAAAGAAAACAGGAAGGATGAGTTTGATTTTTGACATATTCAACTGAATGAGAGCAAAGTACATTTGAGTAGGGGCTATTGCATGTTTGTTGACCTGACTATAAGTCCAGCTCTTACTATTTAGTATCTCACAAGAGAGCAAAAATTTCTTGCAGTTCTGAACAATGTGTACATTTAAAAATATTCTTTGCAGCAGCAATACCAATGAAAGTAGAACACACATTTTCTATGAGGAAAGGGAAATCGTTTTCAAATTAAAGCTATAGCACATGTAAAGAATAAAATGAATCAATTGATATGAATATTCAAAGATAAGTCATTTGGTGTGAAATGGAAAGGTGCTTTGAGAATTGACAGGATGAGACCCAATTCTCTGTCTTGCATTTAAGATGGAAGCACCACAACATGGGAGCAGCCTGAATCTTGAGTCATCAATTGGCAGCAAGCTACATAACAAAGACTTTCAGTGCTTAAGGACAGGAAAACCATACTACACTGCTAAAAAGAGGGTTTGTTTCAGCAGCTAAAGAACTGAACACAAGTACCTATATCATGGCTATTTTAAGATTAAAAGAAGTTTCACTATGCTCTTAAATTTGTATATATGGAATGTATTCACCTTATATAAATAAAAAAGAAAAGTGATAACACATGATAAATGCTTAGTATAAAACAGTAGCATTATAGAAAATTCTCAATAACTGTTCAACAACTAACACTAGTATAAACTATATGACTTCTTTTTTTTGGACGATTGAAACATGAACAAGTAAAAAATATTCTGTTTGAGATTCACTTTCTCCTAACAACACGAATTAGGAATTCTCCCTGTGCTACCATACCTCACCAGAAGCCTTGATTATAACACTTGCCATCATGTTATGCACTCAATTATTGGTTCATGTGGGTTTCACACAAACTAGATTATGTGCTTTGAGGATGAATATTGTATTTGATGTGTCTTTACATCTATATCAGCCAGCATAAATTCTGGTATAGAGGAGCAGGCAATAAATATACATTATGTTAATAAAATATTTTCAAGCATAGGGTGCTAGAGTTGCATGGTAATCATTCTCCCTCTCTCTCTCTCTTTCTCTCTCTCCAGATGAAGAACCTGGGTACCTGGGTCCAGAATCATTAAATAAAATTCCAATTGGGTAATGGGAAGGCTTAAAGTCAAGTTCAATATTCTTAAAATACTGTTTCCTCCATATTGTATACTCCTTCCATATATTTGTGTAACAAAGGATGTTTCAAAAAGCAACCAGTGCAATTTTGCTTACTCTGAATGTTTCTGTGAGCTACTGAATCTGTTCAGTAATAACACTTAAAGTTCATAAGTTTCCAGGAAGAGGAAGAGGAGCTTATAGAAAACCACAGGCAGGAATTGAGCAGGAAACTCTTCTTGAAGTTCAGCAACCTTGGATATGCACCTGCAACATGGCATCAAAGAGACACTTCTAAAGCCACAAAAAGACTTGCTCTTTGTTCCCTTTTGTTTTGAGAGTGTTAGCATCTGCCTGGGGTTATGGGTTATCAAGAATCCAACAGCTTCCAGGGTACACTTCTTGAACTAATGAAACTTTAGAACCCTAAATGAAAATTTGCCACAGAGGGCGGGACTGGGACAGTTTTGTTAGTGCACAGATGTGGCAGGAGGTTTTGAAGGAAGGAAACAAAATTAGGAAACAACAGCTCTCTCCCTTTACCACCATCTCCCACTGATTTCAAATCTATTGAGTGAGAGAGCAATTTAAGAAACATCTGGCACATGGGGGATATATAAGGCAGCCAGAGCACCAAAGAAATGAATTTAAGAATGCACCTGGTTGTGCCCTGTGTAAGTAGGTCATGATGTTTAAGTGTCCAAATAGACACAATCTCAAAGGCAAACACAGATGCATACTTGAATGGTCTCTTTATCTCAGAGCCAGAATCTTCAAGGTAGAATCCCACATACACATACATGCTGATCAAGTGTGTATGAGAAAGAGGATAGGAAACAAGGTGGTTCTATTACATGACAGATATGATAGGCTATATTTTGAGTTAATTATGCTCCAAATAAAAAAGAATGTTGAGATTTTGAGAGAAAAAAGATTGTTGATAGCAATTCATTATGAATTCTATTTTTTCAGAAGTCTAAGTGGAAAAACACACTCTGTGTTGCTTTTATCAAAATCTATAGCTTATTGGTTAAAACTGGAGTGAATGACAGAATCTGTGGGAGTGATCACTTTGAGGGAAAATAAAAACCTATTCCAGTGGTTAGGCTGCAACAAGACAGAATGTTAGTAAGGATTGTGTCAGGTTTGTACAATTTTATCATGAAAATGCTTATTTTTACCAAAAAGACAAATGTGGACTATAATTAGATAGACCCTAATGGCTTGATGTGTGTATCAAATCATATAGTATGTGTAAAACTGCCTTCAAATCTCTAAATACTCTATATATACTAGACTTTATGAAACTTAGAATATGTAAATTGTAAGCTCAAACTTTCTAAATTATTGTCATCTCAACTTCCTATTCTTATTCTACTCTTCCCCTTCACACATTCAGGTAATACAAGTTAGATTTATAATGCAAACTGGAAGTGGGATTTTGCTCAGCTCTGTGCTACATAAATCATATCTGAGGAACTGAGTCCAGTTCTTATGGTATCATTTTAAAGTGATCCTCTACTATTAGCAACCAGAGTGGTGGAAAATGTAACTGTTCAATGTGAATAAGAAAAGACTATCTTAGTTTATTTACAAGAGAGAGAATTTCAGGGGAAATGCCAAGAGCTAAGAAGTAGAATTCAGCAGAGACTAACATTTGAGTAAAACAACATTAAATGATGTCTCAACCTCTAGATCTGTTATTTTAAACTTATTTCACTTTTTTTTTAGATTTTATTTATTTGTTTGTGAGGTAGAGTTACGGACACTGAGAGGGAGAGACAGAGAGAAGGGTCTTCTGTCTGTCGGTTCACTCCCCAAATGGCTGCAATTGCAGGAGCTGCACCGATCCGAAGCCAGGAGCCAAGAGCTTCTTCTGATCTCCCACATGGGTACAGGGGCCCAAGGACTTGAGCCATCTACTGCTTTCCCAAGCCATAGCAGAGAGCTGGATTGGAAGAGGAGCAGCCAGGACTAGAACCAGTGCCCATATGGGATGCTGGCGCCATAGATGGAGGATTAACCTACTGAGCCATCGCACTGGCCCCCATATCTGGTTTTCTAATAGTTCTTTGCCGTTTTTCTATTCTATCTCTTGTTTTCAGCTAACATGTCAAATAAAGAATCTTACTCTCTGATTGATTTAAACTCAGATGAATAAAAATGTTGGTCCTTGGAGAAGACCATTCTGCGAGAGAGGTAGGAAAAATGACAAAGGCAGAGCTGTTTCCTGACAATGGACAATAACGACAGAGCTTGGGTGGATCAATGGAGATTCTATCTGAAGCAACAGGGAATTATGATTATAAAGATAGCTTCTACTGACAGTATCTGGGCCACTGCAATGAAATCTATAGAAGCAGTAGTAGCAGTGTTAGTAATAGTAATAGAGAAGACAAGGAAATGAAAAGAAACTCATGATCATAGATTCACAGCCTGTAATCTTTATCCCTGCTTCTGATTCAAATATAGCTTCACTATCTGAGAATGGAGATTCCCTTTTAAGCTTCAAATCCCATTTAGATATACGATCCTACCTATACAAATCAATCTGAAATGTTTGCTAAGCTGTCCGATTCTTTACCTTCTCAAAATACTAATCATTTATGTATATATGTCTTAGTATGTCTGTGTTCCAAGTCTGTGCAGGAGACATAGACAGTAAAAATAGACTAGAGTCTATTCAAAATTAGAATTCCCTGATCTAGAATTCAGCATCACCTGTAGGATTCTGATTGATTATGGATTCCAAACTCTGGAGCTTTCACAGAAATAATTACTTTGGAAATACTCCTTGGTTCTGGCATGACTCTCTCTGTGTGTGTGTGTGTGTGTGTGTACCATAACCATTTTTATTTTCAGATTCCTGTCTGATACTCCTTACATAAATACGTATTTGGATCTTCTGATGGATCAGAACTGCATTCATTGTTTGGTTCTGTTTTATTTATTTATATTTTTTTTTGATAGGCAGAGTGGACAGTGAGAGAGAGAGACAGAGAGAAAAGTCTTCCTTTTGCCATTGGTTCACCCTCCAATGGCCGCCACGGCCGGCGTGCTGCAGCCGGTGCACCGCGCTGATCCGAAGGCAGGAGCCAGGTGCTGCTCCTGGTTTCCCATGGGGTGCAGGGCCCAAGCACTTTGGCCATCCTCCACTGCACACCCGGGCCACAGCAGAGAGCTGGCCTGGAAGAGGGGCAACCGGGACAGAATCCGGCGCCCTGACCGGGACTAGAACCCGGTGTGCCGGCGCCACAAGTTGGAGGATTAGCCTAGTGAGCCGTGGCGCCGGCCCTGTTTTATTCTTTCAATGATGACTCTGCTGATCAACTCTGAGTCTTGTTCTTTCTTAGATTTATAATATACTCTGTCCATTGGCCATTGACACCATTCTCTGTGATACAAATTATTCATCATTGTATGTGGAAAGAAGGAAGGAAAAGACAGTGAGAAAGTTAGGACTCAGAATCCTACTCAGCCTTATCTAGTCACCTGTCATGACAATAGGCAGGTTTAAGAGAGATAATATCCAGGGGAAATAGAGAACAAATCTGTGGCCTGTTACTATGTTGCTTTGATCCTAAACCTCCTGAACTGTTCTGGGCTGTGTCTGAGAACTCAGTAGAAAGGACACATACCCTGATCTCTTTACTTGAATCTTGGTGTTAACATTTTGAAAAAGAGAAGCAGCAGCAAATACAATGAGAGGAAAGCTCACCAAGGCATGTGTTTCTTCTCAAAGCATCAGTGACTAGTTTGCATATCTGTAGCTCATCCTCTTTTCCTCACTCTTCCCTCTGGTCTGGTTAGACATTGCAAGTGCCAGGATCCATCACTATTGGAGACACCTCAGGGCATTTTCATGTCAACTCTCAAAATATTTCTGAAAAATGGATGTCCAAAAAATGGCCAAAAGACAGATTCCATGGAAGACATGACATAATAATGCAAGAGCTTGTAACCTTTGTGAGGTCATAAGCTCCAGGGCCTGGCTGGAATCTAGATGGGAAAGTGTTGTTGCCAACCTTTCTCCTTTCCAAAACTAGGTCTGGAATGGGGTTTTGAACTCCTGCTAGTGAGTGAATTGCACTGGTGTTATTAACCAAAAAAGTGTTCCTCCAACTGAAGTAGCTTGAAGATTTTGTCTACTGAAGGTTTTGTACCATATTATTCATGTTATGTTTTATTTTGCTGGTCACATATTGTGAACATGTTTGAGTATGACCAAAGAGAAAGAAACATTTCAGATGTGGAGAGAGTGTAAAAAAAAGTCAATAACTAAATCCATGTTTTTGCAATCTGTGAAAACAATTTCTTTTGGAAAAGGAAACAAATAACTAAACCCCAGAATGTGCAAGTGGGTGATTCATATATTCCATAGAGTGAAAACGTTAAATTCTGAATGCCTTTAGGCTGTGATTTTCTTGTCTTCCCTTGTAACTTAAAATAGATGGAGGAAAAAGACAGCCAAGAAAAGGAGGGGGATTAAATGAATCAAGAGGGGGATTGTCAAAGCTGCTATAAAGTCTGCAGGAAGGCAATAGCAGTAGGGAAAAGTAAAAAGGCTATAGTCATAAAGATGATGGCATTTGTGAAGCAGTGGAAAGAAATGTCAGGAAGGGTGCTCTCTAAATCTGAATAACATAGGACTTAGACATTTCACATTCTATATTATTTTATTGGTTCAACCAACCCAGTTTATACTAAATTTTGTATGTACATATAATTATGTGCATCAATAGAAAAAACTTTAAAGCTTAGGTAACCCATTTATTCTATTACTCTATCTCAACATCAACAAGTATTATTATGATTGTAGATCATGCTAAGTATGTTTCATAAACTTGGCTTTAGAGTTTCTCAAGATTTGAGAATCTCTAAGACAGTAGTTTCCTAGCTGAGGATTAAAAAACATATGGACACATATGCATGTGTATATGTGTGTGTGTATAATTACAGTGACTGCCATAAGTATACTTTACTCAGAATTCAGAATATTGGAGATTATATGTCTGAAAATATGTGACAAGAAGATCTTCCACCTTTGGAAACTATAATCCTGAAACAATGGGGAGAAATTAATCCATTAGTAATTTGCTGACACTCTAAAAGGCAACAGTGTATTAAAACATTTGCTTCTAGATATTTTAAAATTTTAAGTAAGGGCACACAAAAGAATAATTATAAGATGTGTAAATTGTCAAGAGGTCAGTTTTGGTTAACATAGGTTTCCAAGTTTAAAAAAAGGGCAATTTGAAAAAAGGAAATTAGAAATGCATTAATGGAGGAAAAATAGATTTGTAGAAAAGGGAAAAAAAAACAGCATCACTGGAATACAAGTAGGAAGAAATATATTCAATGTCATTTCAATGCAGGTAACTAGTTCAACTTCCTCTTCTGTAGAATTTGTGAACTGGATTAAGGAGAGACTCTTAAATCTCTTCAAAATGTAACATTACAGAATTTCATGATTCCAGAAACTTGCAGTTTAGAGACAACACATGATAAAATAATTAATTTGATATTTGAGTATATTTCAAATATGTTTTAAATTGTCTTAGAGTTTAATAATAATTAGTGTTGTTTTACTTGAGTTCTAAAAGTAGCATTCCATCTAAGCATATTATCAAGGCCTGAATGTTTTTCAGTTCCTTAAAGATTCTGCTTTCAACTTTTCTGGATTTTCATGTTTTTTTTTGACACTTCAATCACTTATGTATTATTTACTTCTATATCAAATATTTTAATTCATTCATCCAGACAATGATTCAACAAGGTAGAATGAATACCTATAATGTGTCAGTGTTGCACCAGCTTCTAGGTATATAAGAGGGGATAAAATTAAGTGTGATCTTCACCCTCTCAAGAGTTTTATCACTAATGACTAAGGGAATATTAATCACATACTTTCACAATAAGTATTAAATTCCAGTTGTTACAGGCATTCTGAAGGAGGTGTGAAATTTAACCTGAAAACTAAAACTCAAATATTTCTTTAGATATATAGAACTAGACAACAACAACAGACAGGGAGGGAGGGAAGATGTAAGGCAGGAGGAGGGTTAGAGTGAGTGAAAGAGAGAGAGAGAGAGAAAAACTCAAATGAGAGAAACTTGTATGCATGAACGTCCAGTGATTAATAATAACATTAAAAGTATGAAGGACAGAGGTCCAGGAGATGCAGGCCCTAAGAGAAAGAGGGAGATGTTTTAGATTTAAGGTTGAGTAGCAGTTAGAGGAGTGACAACAGAGAGCCCTGAAGACTGTCTGTGGTCATCATCAATGATGCTCACCAAGTAATGCTAGTAGAACTTCTGGGCATGTGATACTCCGAGTTAGGTAAGGTCCTTTGACTTCCTTTGATTATAGGTATTCTAACCAGGTGTCAAGTTGTACAACATTGTGATTTAGTTTCATGTTTCTCTACAGGATTTCTCATGATTTTGCTTCTCATCCATATGTCTAATTTTTTCTTTGGTAAAGTGTATGTTCAAGTATTTGGCTTGTTTTTCTTTCTTTTGTTTTGATTGCTTAATTGGGTTATATGCTTTCTCATTATTGAATTTGGAAATTCTCTATATAATCAGTGTACTAATCTTTTATGAGATATGTGTTTTCCAAACTTTATCTCCTAATCTGTGGCTTGTATTTTTATTTTCGTAATGAAACTTTTTGTCAATCCAAAGTTATTAAATTCCTTTTTTTCCCAATCACCTCACTAGTGCAAACTACTCAACACCCTTATGCATTTGAAAAAGGTAAGTGATTATCTGGAAAATATACAATTTCAAACTACTACATAAATCTAACATATCAGTATTTTTATTGTGTGAATTTGTACCTTTATCAATATTCAGAATAATCTGGTCACATATCATTAATGAATATTATCTAGATGGCCCATAAGGACGTATTTGTGAAATAAAAAAATGTCAACTCTCTTCTAATTTATTACAGAAAATTTATTCCAGATTTTAGTTTGGTTGGATTTTTTATTTTCCACAGGCAGAGTTAGATAGTGAGAAAGAGAGAGACAGAGAGAAAGGTCTTCCTTCTGTTGGTTCACCCTCCCTCCCCCCAAATGGCCGGTAAGGCCAGCGTGCAGGCTGTGCTGATCTGAAGCCAGGAGCCAGGTGCATCCTCCTTGTCTCCCATGTGAGTGCAGGGTCCAAGCACCTGGACCATCCAACACTGCCCTCCCGGGTCACAGCAGAGAGCTGGACCAGAAGAGGAGCAACTGGGACAGAATCTGGCACCCAAACTGGGACTAGAACCCAGGGTGCCAGCACCGCAGGCGGAGGATTAGCCAAGTGAGCCGCGGCGATGGCCTGTTGGATCTTTAAATTTCACAGAGTCATGAGTTTTTTTTTTTTTTTTCCTAAATCTAGGTTGGTGTTGTTTCTTGAAGTGATATTTAACACTTATCAAAATTATTAATTTCAATAAAGTATAATGCATCGAACTATCCTATTTATAATAGAACTGAAAATATGAAATATCCAGGTATATATTTAACAAGAAACATAAAAAGTGTGTTTCCTGTATGAGGAAATATTTACAGAAATATATTGAAAAAAACACAGACTTGAATATATAAAAATTCCATGTTACTAAAAATATCAGTGGGAAAAATAAGTATGGGAAAAATAAGTAATTAAGACAGGTTAGGAATATGGATAGATGTAATGTCAATGTTAAGCTTCATTATATATGATAATACATTGTAAATGAGTATTTCTATCTAAAATAGTTTGGTATTATGCAGGCATTTTGATCCAGAGTGTTAAGCCACTGAGCAGGACACCTGCATCCCTGATCAGAGTGCCAGTTCTTGTCCTAGACCATTCATTTCAGATTCAGCTACCTACTAATGCACTTGAGAAGGCAATGTACGATGACCCTTACTAGGTTACCTGCACCCTACATGGGAAATCCCAAAGGAGTTCCTGGCTCCTGGCTTCTACCTGGCCCAGTTCTGGCTTTTGCAGACATTTGGAAAGTGAACCAGTGGATGGATCTCTCTCTTCTGTCTCTCTATTTCTCTGCCTTTCAAACCAATAAATGAATCTTAAAAAATCAGAAAATAAAAAATACTGAGACATCAGGACAAGAAATGTTAAATCCATTAGATTTTGCAAAATAAGATGCCGAAAAAATCAGCTCATGCATATTTGGAAATCTGGTCTATGATAATGGTGACATTTCAAATCACTAGGGAAAACTAGGCTTTTTAAATTTTTTTTGTTAATTCATTTTTTAAAGAACACAAATTTTATAAGTACAACTTTAGAAATATAGTTATTCTTCCCCGCCTTCCCACTCACATGCTCACCCCTTGTCCTCCTCCCTTTCCTTTTCCCGGTCCCATTCTCCATTGATTCATTTTCAATTAACTTTGTACACAGAAGACCATCTCTATACTACATAAAGATTTCACAATTTACACACACAAGCACAGCACAAAAAAACTGTTTGAGAACTAGTTTTACAGTTAACTCTAGTAATAGCAATCATTGAGGACAGAAGTCCTGCATGGGGAATTAGTGCACAATGACCCCTGTTATGAATTTTTTTTTTGACAGGCAGAGTGGACAGTGAGAGAGAGAGACAGAGAGAAAGGTCTTCCTTTGCCATTGGTTCACCCTCCAATGGCCGCTGCGGCCAGTGCGCTGCGGCAGGCACACTGCGCTGATCTGATGGCAGGAGCCAGGTGCTGCTCCTGGTCTCCCATGGGGTGCAGGGCCCAAGTACTTGGGCCATCCTCCACTACACTCCCTGGCCACAGCAGAGAGCTGGCCTGGAAGAGGGGCAACTGGGACAGGATCTGGCACCCTGACCGGGACTAGAACCCGGTGTGCCAGCGCCGTAAGGCGGAGGATTAGCCTAGTGAGCTGTGGCACCAGCCCTGTTATGAATTTAACAATTAGCAGTCTTATATATGATGACAGTGATCACCTGATGCTCTTGAAATAAGCTGCCTAGGCCATAGAAGACTTTTGAATACACAAACTACATCAGTATGTAGATAAAGCCATGAGCAAAGCAGAAGTTCTCTCCTCTATTTAAAGAAAACTACATCCTTCTTTGATAGCCACTTCTTTCTGCTAGGTTCCCACTCACAGAGATTCTTCATGTAGAAAAATTTTTGCTGTGGTGTCTTGGCTTTCCATGCCTGAAATGCTTTCCCAGGCTTTCCAGCCAGATCAGGAAGTCTTAAGGGCTGATTCTAACATCAGAGTGTTACTTAAAGCTATTGTCATTCTATGAGTCTGCTGTGTGGACTGATTCCCATGTTTGAACATTCTCTCCATTTTAATTCTATTTTTATTACCAGACAATTCATCCTATTTATATGATCACATTAACACTTAATCCTATCTATATGTTCACTTTAACACTTAATATAATCACTTTAACACTTCAGATGACATTTTTATAACCCAGCTTAATGGGATTTAGGGTCCCATACATGTTTTTAAACTGTACCCTTAGAGGTAAGTCTGTAGGAATGTATGCAGAACTATACAGCTTTACAGTTACAAACTCCCTCCTCTCTCTCTTATTCTCACTCTTATTTTTTGCTGAGATACATGCTCAGTTGACTTAATATACATATGATTAACTATGTTAAGGAAAGAGTTATTCAAATAGTAGGAAGAAAAAAAGCAAAAACAAAACAAAACAAAAACAAAAACAACAGTCAAGAAAAGGGCATTCAAGAAAAGGGCAGCTCAGGTCATCCCTTCTCAAAGTGACAATTTCACTTCTACAGATTTCATTTTAGGTGCTCTATTAGTTCTCATAGATCAGGAAGAATGTATGGTATTTGTTCCTTTGAGACTGGCTTACTTTAATAAGTATGATTTCCATATTCATCGATTTTGTTGCAAATGATCGGATTTCATTTATTTTTACCACTGTGTAGTATTCCAGAGTGTACATATCCTGTAATTTCTTTATCCAGTCTTCAGTTGATGGGCATTTAGATCGATTCCATGTCTTAGCTGTTGTGAATTGAGTTGCAATAAATGGGAGTACAGATAACTTTTTTATTTATTGATTTCATTTCCCTTAGGTATATTCCCATATATTCCATATGGCTGGGTCATATGGTAGGTCTATATTCAGATTTTTAGGATATTTCCATACTGTCTTCCATAGTGTCTTTTCCAGTTTACATTCCCCCCAACAGTGGAATAGGTTGTCTTTCTCCCCACATCCTCACCAGCATTTATTGTTTGTTGATTTCTGTATGAAAGCCATTCTAAGTGGGATGAGGTAAAACCTCATTGTGGGTTTGTTTTGCATTTACCCGATGGCTAGTGATCCTGAACATTTTTTCATATGGCTGTTGGCCATTTGGATTTCTTCTTTTGAAAAATGTCTTTAAGCTTTTTGCCCATCACTTAACTAGGTTTTTTTCTTGTAGAGTTTCTGGATCTCTTTGTAGATTCTGGTTATTAATCCTTTATCAGTTGCATAGTTTGTAAACAATTTCTCCCATTCTGTTATTTGCCTCTTCATTTTTCTGTGTTTTTTTTTTTTTTTTCAGTACAGAAACTTCTGAATTTGATGCAGTCCCATTTGTTAATTTTGGCTTTGACTATGTGTGCCTCTGGGGTCTTTTCCAAGAACTTTTTGCCTGTGCCAATGTCTTGCAGGATTTCCCAAATGTTCTCTAGTAATTTGATGGTGTTGTTTTGTGGGTTTATATCTTTAACTCACTTTGAGTGGATTTTTGTGTAAGGTGTAAGTTAGGGGTTTTGCTTCCTAATTTTGCATGTGAAAATCCAGCTTTCCCAGCAACATTTGTTGAAGAGAACGTCCTTGCTCTAGGGACTGGTTTTAGCTCCTTGGTAAAATATAAGTTGGTTGTAGATGCTTGGGTTGATTTCTCGCATTTCTATTCTGTTCCATTTGTCTACCATCTGTTTTTGTACCAGTACCAGGCTGTTTTGATTATAGCTGCTTTGTAGTATATCTTGAAATCCACCAAGCTTTTTAATAAATGGCTTTCAAAAATTTTAATATTTTTCACCTATACCAGAATTACTTACAAATGGATTTCAGATAAAATACATGAAATGTGAGACCATATAAATGCAATATAATAACTATATTCCTTCAAATCTTCAAGTATTGAAAGTCTTTTATCACTATAACTCAAAATTCAGAAGTGATATAGGAAAAATTATAATACAAAAAAGTAATACGTAAGTTCATTGGAAAAATTACTGGGAGGAAAGTCAAAATAAATGACAAATCCAATAATTATTCTAAGTTACGGTAAAGGAAATATTCCTAAAATATACAACATTCTGAAGTAAATATGACAATGCCTAAAAATTTGTTAGGTGAAAAGCAGCCAAGAAATTTAAACATTCAATTCATGGGGAAACATTGGTCCTTAAATACATAAAAAACATATCTCCTAATTTCATTTAAATAAGAAAATACAAAGGATTACATAGAAATAGTACTTTTCATCTATTAAATTAACAAAACCACTATTATCCACCTTCTACCCCATTCTCTACTCTTCTGATTAAATAAATTGCATTGGAAATGTTGTTATGAAACAGACTCTCTTTCACATTGATAGAAGACATGAAAAATAGTACAAATATGATGAAGGAGATTGTCACAATACAAAAGAAAATTACACATATACTTATCCTTTTAATCAGAAATTCTACTTCTAAGAATATATCCTTAAGATACACTTCAATGTGCATGAAATGACCTCCACATAAATTTA